TGCGATAGTTTAATACTCCTACCATTTCAAGCTACCTTCTTTGATGCCGTGGTAGTCCCCCGAACGAGCCTGCCACAACGAAATACACATATACAGCGTGTCGTTACCATCGCCACAATAAATGAACACACGTCTAATGCTACTTGCCAATAATCATAAAAAAATATTAACGTTAAACAAAATCCATAATTAAAAAAAAATATTTTTCAAACAAACTAATTAAGTAAAAAAGAAACAAAATTTGTAACATCCTATACAACTCACGCCACAGCGTCGTATTACAAGCCTCTCCTTCTAACAGTATGTTTTGTCTCTTTTAAATTCATTCAACCCATTCATATGCTTTGTGACCTTTACAAATGAACTTTACGTTACGCTTTTATAGGTAAGGGTGTTCTAAAATTATTTGTTTTGGAAAAATTTATATCTCTGTAAATATTGATGTTTAAAGAATTTAAATGTTTAATACAACTTTGAAAAGTTATCCCCTATATGTGTGTTCATTTATTGTCGCGATGGTAACGACACGCTGTATACCATACATTACAAGGTTTCGGGTTCTATTTAGCCCAAGAGTAATGCGTTCGATGAAGCTTTATTAGCCTACGACCTAAATAAGGGAAATAACACTAGCCAGTAATAAAAAAGTTACATTAACAGGTGAGGAACTAATAACATTTTAAACGGTAAAGTCTAAATCTTTGATTACATTCTTGTCAAAGTACTAAATACTATACCAATATAAAATTATAAAACATGTCCTTATTTTCTTTAACAGGACTACCTACCCACCTCGCGTTGAGTTAGATTTGGAAATCTTAAAACTCGTTGCAGACGAAATCACTTATTACGCCAAATTCAAATAAACAACCGAAACTAGAAGAAAAATTTTGCATTAATGTCGAACTGATCAACTTGTTGAAGTGGCGTGTCGCTAGTTAAATATTTTTCACGCAGGCGATCAAATTAATAAACACCGAACATTGTGACGCAAATGTGGCGCAACGCAATTACACTGGAGTGCGACCTTGGTGCCGTGGCGTGGCGGACGACTGACGTCAGTGCATCATAAAACGTTTGTTTTGAGAAATCGTCGCAGCGGTCGTCGAATGTCACCCCCTCGGCGGAGGCACAAGGCGCGCCCCGTCCACCACCCGCCAGTCACGTATCGGTTTGGCCAAGCGTCAAGTGACAAGTCGACCTACCTGCTTATGTCCGCTCTCCGTAAACAATAACAACTCCGCCGCAGATTGATATCGACGCGCGGACTTGTCATACCCGCACTACACTAAATACATTTGTCTAATGTTCGTAAAGCGCATTGAATGCTTCGAATCGCATTACTCGGGAATGGGCATTAGTCATGCCATCGATGGTTTTGTCAAATTTGAATATGTGATGATATATCAGGATTCAGGTTGGTCTGTTTTTAATAAACGCTATACGTCAATTCTACGGAGACGTCATACCAATCAATAATGATGCTTTAAATTTTTTATCGCTTTTATCTGGGGAAGCGTTGGACCCTATTGACTCAACTGTATTCCTTGGCATAACTATTGATGCCAAACTGCAATGGGGCCCCCATATTAATAGACTGGCGAGTAGACTTAGCTCAGCAGCTTTCGCGGTCAAAAAAATAAGACAGTTAATTGATGTAGATACGGCTCGCTTGGTATATTTTAGTTATTTTCACAGTATAATGTCTTATGGCATTCTGCTTTGGGGTAACGCGGCCGACATTAATACAATCTTTATCTTACAAAAGAGAGCTATTCGTGCAGTTTACAATCTGGGCCCCAAAGAATCGTTAAGAAACTTGTTTAAAGAGAAAAAGGTATTGACTGTTGCTGCTCAATACATTTTTGAAAATGTTTTGTATTTTCATAAAAATAAGGATAAATTTTTAAGACATAATAATGTTCATGATATAAATACTAGGAAAAAAAATAAATTGATCCTACCCACAAGTAGATTGCGTAAAATAATTAAATCTTTTATGGGACAACATATACGTTACTACAACAAAATTCCAGAAAACGTTCAAAATGCATCAATATTTAAATTTAAAAAAATAGTAAAAGAAAGTTTTTGTGTTAAAGGCTACTATAATATTAATGATTATTTAAATGATAACACACTCTGGTAATGAACTGATCGCTCCAGGCTCTTTCAATCGGAGTTCTTATATTGTATTTTTAATGAATTTATGTCAAACTGCTTATTTAAAAAAAAAAGCCCACTGAGTTTCTTTCGCCGGTTCTTCTCAGTACAGTGGCTTTCTTTTCCGAATCGGTGGTAGCGTTTTGACTATCAATAAGTGAGTGTAATGCTCCTATGTTGAATAAAGACATTTGATTTGATTTGATAAATACCCTTAAAATAACAAGTATTTTGTTTAAAAAAAAGTTTATTTCATTATTATAATTAAAAAAAAAACAAACTGCATAAACCAACCTGCACCAAACTGTGTTGATATGATATTACGTCTTGACAAATAACTTCAACGTGTTATAAAATCTTCCAAATCATCCATTTTTGAAGTTACACTAATTTTGGCGCGTTTTGCAAAATTGGTAAGTTCACTTTTGCTTTGCAATCATCTTCATGGTATTAACATGCCATCCAATAACAACTTTTTGACATTTAGGTACTTATATTTCCAAGTTATAAATGTTATCAATTTTATTTATTGTCTTTGTCATAAAACATAGTAATGGGACAAGAGATTGCATTTTTAGTTATTTTGTTACGCTAAAGAAGTATAACTTTTTACGTGCGTACAAAAGTACACTACACACTCATACTTTTTTTATACAGATAAAATAAGTAACATTTAGTTAAAATTTCGATTATAACGCATTCTAGTACATCTCAACATACAAAAATGGTTCTTGTTTTTCTCTGACATCTGTGTGTATCTCAATATATTTAGGTATTGTAATGTAAGCTTGACAAACTCGTTTTATATGGATTTAGGGTCTGATGGATGCAATTTTTTTGTATATAGTACAACTACAATAAAGTGCGCAAACGCTAAAACATTAAATGGCTATAGCATTTCCTAATTCGATAACCTTTTTGATTACATTTGGCCTTTACGATCAGAAAAACTATTGTAGAGTTCCTGATCATATATTTGTGAACTGTATTCTGTATGATTGATGTATGATCTCATTTAAAAGGCTGCAATAATTAGTCGGAGTCACGTTTATATAACATTTGATACATACAATTTCAATAAAAACAATTTGAGTTTTTGCTACCTTCAAATTTATTGAAACTGGTCAATATCCTTCCAGAGATTCTAAACAATGACAAGATAATATAATTAACTAGTCTAGTACTGCGAAAATGGTTTAACAAACAATTTGCCCAGCGACTGATTAATCGATTTGTTCCGAATATATAAACTTAGCCTTGACATCATATTAGCGGCGTAGTGACGAGCTACGCCATTTGACATTCATGAGTCCGACATATTGTATACAAGGACACCAAAATTTTGTTAATTTAATACTAACCTTTAATCATATTAACAAAACGATTTTATGTTGCTGGGTACACCAAATGGCATAAGTTTTACTTATTATTGCTTGATTATTGATTATATAAGAAAGTGACAAACGAGGTGGCGGTTCACCTGATGTTAAGTGATAACAGCCGCCCATGGATATTTGCAACACCCATAGAATTGCAAATGCATTGCAACCTTTAAATAAATTGGGTCCCGGCCACCTCACTCACCAGAGGAAACGCAGAAGTGTAACACTTCTACTTTACGCCGGTACGAAAGAAACTCCGAAGGTATCTCTTTTTGTCATTTTAGGGTTCCGGACCCAAAGGGTAAAACGGGTCAACAGGCTGTATCTCATGAACCGCAATAGTTAGTTGAAATTTTCACAGATATTGTATTTATGTTGGCGCTATAACATCAAATACTAAAACAGAATAAGAAATATTTAATTGGGGCATATTAACATGATTCATTTTGCCGTTCTTATAGATAATAGTACGGAACCCTTCGTGCGCGAGTCCAATTCGCTCCTTACCGATTTTTTCTCCCTAAAACATTAATAATATATAAATAATCAGCTAAAAATTTAATTAGAATATTTTATTTAACATAACAATTATTGAGGTATTCTATTTATTTGCATATCATCATTATCCTCCTGCCCATATATTATATCCCTAGGTGGGGTGAGCGCAACAAGCGAGTCATTTTGTAAGCGATTGTGACTAGGTTTTATACTACCGGCCCCATCGGCCTGACGTCAACTCTCCTTGGGAACAACCACCCAGATCCGTAACAATTATCTTTGGGGCACACAATAATCTTGTCCCGTGTGGTAATCGAACCCACCGAGTTTATGTATTTTCATTAAGAATATGAAATGATCTAAGAAAATCATTTTGATGGGTGTTATGTAGAAAAAGGAATAATAAGAAGGATAAGAATGACTGTTTGCAATAAAACTGAAGATGTGTATCATATGCTGATGGACTGTGAAAGGAACCAAAATAAAAGGGAACTGCTGTTTAAAGATCTGAATGTAAATTTATTAGATGTTGGTCTTATATTTAATATGTTGTCGAATCCCAAAAGTGAAACATTGAAACGTATTTGCGGCCTTGTTCAAATCAACAAACTGTAATTCCCGGTTTAATAAATCTATATAATTTTAAGGATTCATATTTGCTAAGTTGTTGTGATCTGTATAAGTTACGATGGGGCTGGCGTATCTTTATAGATAAAAACCCCATAAGAAAAGATAATATAAAAATGAATGACTGTCATGTACAATACCTACTAATAAACATCTCAGAATGCCCCGTTAGCAAAATACCCTTGTACCATGTTTTGTTTGCGTGATTCCACAGGGCATAGTTTATACGTGATGTTTCCTGTTTCATAATAAACGGCGATTAATTAATTATACGCCAGCTCATGTAAGTTGCATAACCAAAGCGGTGACATTGTAACGTTCTAAGTTTTACGCGTATTTTTCATGCGCAGTGTTTTCCACGTGCGCGTGTGATGCGAGGTTGGATGCACGCGCGGCCTTCAAATGCGCGCGGGGGCGGGCACAGGGGGGGGGGGGGGGGGGGGGGGGTGAGGCAGCCGCGGGAGAAATGCGCAAACGCAATGACGAGCCCCTTATCAGCGGATGTCGTTTATCGCAGGTTCCCGGGTCCACTTGTTGTTGACCATTCGCCACACGGAGATTTGTGCCGGTCTGCTACGGGTATTCACCTGCTAAAAGCGGTTGTGTGAAGTCGTGAACAGTGTTGCAAAAATAAAATTCATTAATTCATGTCATTTACAACATACAATATTGAGTCGATATGATCGCGGTCGAGACTTATGTGATAGACGAGACAAAAGTCAAAGGAAAATTTGTAAAAGAGCCCGTGTTGTGTGCGACCTTTACTCATGTTAAAACCAGATACATAAAAGTATAAAGATAAAATGAAGTATTCTTTAATACTAGGTATATTTCCTCTCTAAAATTTAAGGATTCAATAGAACACGTCGGTCGTCCCAGTCCATCTAAAGGAAGTAAATCGCATTATCTCACTAATACTAGTAGGAGACTCCTAAAACTTAATCAACTCGGAAAAAGGCAAAGATATTAAGAAATAACTATAGCCAAGGACCATCCCAATTTCTAATAACATCAGAAATAAGGCCCGCCTATATGTTTACTGTCTTGCATTTTTAAAACACTTCTCTCCAACTGCGTCTGGGACACTAGAAAGAGGCCATGGTTATTAGCGTTTATAACAAACCACTCACCCAGACAACTTGTTACCACCCCATCAGCCTCCTCAACAGCTGGGGAATTTATACGAGCGCATTAATTTAAAAAATGTGAAAAGATGAAGTCCAAAAAGATCTGAGACCTCTCCAATCAGCCAATTGATAAGAAACTTTTCAGAACAGAGAGCAGTAACGTCTTTTCGTGTCAGAGGATAATATACTCTTTAGGTTGTTGAACCAGCCAAGTAAGTAAGTAAGAAGTAAGGTGTCTTCTCCAACGATTTTTTTTAAATAATTCTAACCTGCACAGTACTTTCGCCTAACGGAAAGCTATCAGCTACCCCAAACACATAGGAAGTGCCAGCCCTAGCCTTTAATGTGGTTCAGGGTAGAGCGAGATTGTATTGAAGGGACTTTTAGTCAGTGTTTTCACTTAACATAAAATGTACTTTTACTATATTAAATAAATTCATTACAAACATCACACTTATTAGAATATAAATCAAATAAAGTTGCTGTAGTTATTATACCGCTGCTTCAGATAACAAATAGAATTAGCGCTACACTCGTTTCATATCAGCCAATGGAACAAGCAGGCTTTCATATCAGCCAATGGAACTTTCACATTAATTCAGTGGAGCTACTTATTGAGAAATACCAGCAACCACTTTACATAGGGTTTACATATTATCAAAAAGCCTTCGACACAATCAATATCAATATGGGAAGCCCTAAACTCTCAGAACTACATTCTGGCTAAATATATCAAAGTGTTCAAATATATATATAAAAACGGCACCATCCATCAGAGTGAAACTAGAGACAATTCAAACCCCCATTCCAATTAAATGGAACGGATTATCAACTTCAACAAAACAAAAGTGATGAAAAATTCATTGAAAAATTAAATTAAATTTGATAATAATCCGATAGAATTCGTCACCTCTTGCATCTATCTAGGCAAACAACTCTCCAGAATAAAAGTAATGACCAGGAAATTTAAAGAAGGATAAAAGGGTCATGGAAATTTTTAAAAAAACCTGTGTCTTATAGTCACTCACATACGCTTGCCAAACGTTGAAATTCACACGTAATGTTAAAAACCGAATAAACTCATACCAATGGAGCATGGAAAGAAGCATGATGAAAATGATGGGCGGGCCATGGCGAAAGGCGGGCCGCGTAGCAAGGATGAGCGATGATAGATGGACATGTCGGCTGTCGTTATGGCCAGGCCCCCCGGGAAATAGAAAAAGATGAAGACGTAGAATCAGATGGACTGACGACATTGAAGGGCTAAATTATATAGGTGTGAAATAAAAGCCTTTTTTATTTTATTTATTTTACTTATGAACTAAATGACGAAAAACATAATATCACATTAGTTACCTTGATCTAAATTCAAATAAAAAATAATACCCGTAGTTATTACAATCCTGCCCTTAAACTTAACGACGCTCTACCAATATACACAGACAGCAAAGAAAAAGGGTCGGTTAGAAAATCTTCAATATCTTCAAAAGTAGGTACCAGACCTATCTCTATAAAATAAAGACTAAATTAAAAATTATTTTAATGTGCCTACATAAAAAAATGAATTTAAGGTTTTTATTTTAAACAAATAAAAATGTGTAGTTTTTCCAGTATTTTCGTGAATGTAGATGTAGATGGTTACACATGTGCCGTTTTCACGCATTTTAGTACTTTGTGTTGCCTCCGCGAACTCGCAATACTGCTGTTATGCGATTTTGCATACTTTCTACTAGATATTTGAGGCAATGCTGCGGAATATTCTACCATTCCTCTATTCGAGGTTCTTTCATTTCATGTAGCATGATTGGCGAAGGCTTCGGCTGACGTACACGTTGTCCCAGTTCGTTCCATGGCTGCTCAATGGGGTTTAAGTCGGGCCTGCGTGCTGGCCACTCTATGTGTGATACCGACTTCTTAAACGGCAAACACTATTTGAGCTGTATGCTGTAATGGGAACGAAATTCAATTCACAATTTCAGTGACATATCTTTCTGCAGTTAAAATTCTATTTTCTATCACGGATCAATCACTAGCTCAATGCGGCTTTCCGAAGAAATCCCAGCCCACACGTGAACAGAACCTCCGCCGTATGGTACTTTTTTTATGGTACTTGGTCTATTGTTCTCTCATTTCCTTTCTTCATGCTTGTATGAACAGAATCTAGACTCATCTGAAAACATAACTCTTGACCAATCATACAGTTACTGAAGTTAAGTATAGAAAAAAATTGACAATTTGGCGCCATGAAAGGGTAATATTTGACACATAAACGGTTGACTGAAAAGCAACAATCATTGAAAAAGAAGTCCTGTAAATTGTTATTTAATACATATTTACTAATTCAACCAGACCGCGGTGTATCGTTCGGTGACTAAGTGAGTCGATCGTTTGTGGTTAGCAGCCTCACATACATTTAAACCACATCCGAAAATGGTTATTTTTGTACTCTGTTTCGGTTTTTAAATGATCGTCATATTTATCGGCATAGAAGTATAAAAAGTATTATACCTTTCACATAGACTATTTTAACATATACGGAATAAATTCTTGTAACTGTAACTGTATTCGTATAAAACTGTATAATATACCACATATATTTTGGAGTGAACTACAAAAAATTTCTCACTAGGGTCTCAAACGAGTACATTAAGTTTATTAAGCTTAGCACGATACAAAATAAACCTTACTTCTATTCGCATCAAAACTTAACGCGAATCTTATTTATGCGAATATAACACTTCTAATTTAAATTAATTTAACGAGTAAATGACAGTCAATATATTGCCATATTTCATTTGAGTGGATCTCTAATGTGTGATTAGTATTATGTTTAATTAATAGTAGAAACTTCTAAAATCAAAATCAAAATCAAATGTATTTATTCAACATAGGAGCATTACACTCACTTATTGATAGTCAAAACACTACCACCGGTTCGGAAAAGAAAGCCACTGTACTGAGAAGAACCGGCGAAAGAAACTCAGCGGGCTTTTTTTTTTTTTTAAAATAAGCAGTTTGACATAAATTCGTTAAAATACAATATAAGAACTCCGATTGAAAGAGCCTGGAGCGATCATTTAAATTATCATTAATATTATAGTAGCCTTTAACACACAAACGTTCTTTTACTATTTTTTTAAATTTAGCTATTGATGCATTTTGAACGTTTTCTGGAATTTTGTTGTAATAACGTATACATTGTCCCATAAAAGATTTACTTATTTTACGGAGTCTACTTGTGGGTAGGATCAATTTATTTTTGTTCCTAGTATTTATATCATGAACATTATTATGTCTTAAAAATTTTTCCTTATTTTTATGGACATACAAAACATTTTCAAAAATGTATTGAGCAGCAACAGTCAATACCTTTATCTCTTTAAATAAGTTTCTTAACGATTCTTTGGAGCCCAGATTGTAAACTGCACGAATAGCTCTCTTTTATAAGATAAAGATTGTATTAATGTCGGCCGCGTTACCCCAAAGCAGAATGTCATAAGACATTATACTGTGAAAATAACTAAAATATACCAAGCGAGCCGTATCTACATCAGTTAACTGTCTTATTTTTTTGACCGCGAAAGCTGCTGAGCTAAGTCTACTCGCCAGTCTATTAATATGGGGGCCCCATTGCAGTTTGGCATCAATAGTTATGCCAAGGAATACAGTTGAGTCAATAGGGTCCAACGCTTCCCCATATAAAAGTACATCAGTTTTTACATGTTTAACATTGGAGGAAGTTGTAAATATAATACATTTAGTTTTTTTATTATTCAACAGTAAATTGTTAGCACTAAACCAATGTACTACAGTAGATAGAGTATTGTTTACATCGTCATAACTTAAAGAACGTCGGTTTACTTTAAAGATTAAAGAGGTATCATACGCAAACAATACTATCTCATGATTGTTATTAACAAGATAAGGTAGATCATTTATGTAAATGAGGAAGAGAAAAGGGCCAAGAATAGATCCCTGCGGGAACCCCATATTTACCAAGGCCCCGGGAGATCTCTTGCCATTCACGTCAACTCTCTGAATTCGATGGCTCAAGTACGATTTCAGAAGATTGAGTGCGGCATCTCTTATACCATAGTGGCGTAGTTTCCTGACCAAGGTCTCATGCTGTACACAATCGAAAGCTTTTGTTAAGTCACAGAATATTCCTAAGGCATCCTGCGACTTTTCCCAGGCTTCAAAATATTCATAACGAGCTGAACACCCGCATCAGTTGTTGAGCGACCCCTAGTAAACCCATATTGCTTGTTATGTAATAAATTATGAGAGCTAAAATGCTGTAACATTTGATTTAACATGATTTTTTCAAAAATTTTACTAAGAGTTGGCAGTACAGAGATAGGTCTAAAATTATTGGGGTCGGAAGTACTACCAGATTTAAACACCGGAATGATTTTACTATGTTTCATAAGGTCAGGAAATTCGCCACGATTGATACAAATATTAAAAATAGTTGCTAGGTAAGGTGATATTACATCAATAATAGAACTGATCACCTTAACCGAGATCCCCCATAGATCTGCAGTTCTTTTAACATCTAAAGTTTTAAAAAAGTTTTAACAATTTCTGTCTTGTTTACAGTAGTAAATTTAAAGTTGACTTTACATTCCATAACATTCTTTTTTAGTAATGACTCAGCAACTGTCGGTGAGGAAAGAAGTGACTTGGTTGTTGAAACTGGAATGTCAACGAAAAATTTCTCGAAGAAAGTAGCAGCCTGTTGATTTGAGTTAATAGAATTATTATCATTAGTTAACATTAGGTCAGATTTGCGCTTCGTGACTCTTCCCGTTTCGCTATTAATTATTTTCCAAGTCATTTTGATTCTATCAGGTGCATTTTTTATTTTATTCCTAATATATAGAGATTTAGCAGTATAACAAGCTTTTTTAAATATTTTAGAGTAGGCACTAACATAAGAAACAAAACATTGACTATGATTGTATGTCCTTTCACTATAAAGTTCATACAATCTACGTCTACTATTATGAATTCCGACTGTTGCCCATTCATTGAAAACTTCTACTACTACTACTTCAATTTTAGATTTTACTTGTAACACATAAATAATATAATGTTAATGTCTTCGTGGTTTTACTGCAGATATTTATAGACATAGAAAATTGGAAGTATTGATTTTGTATCGTTTTGATTTTTCTTTTCTATTACGGAGAGGTCCTTAATAACAAAATGTGTAAGCTGGTTTGCTTATGCGGCTGTCTTTTACTATAAATCCCACACAACACAAATTAAACTATTATTCATTTATATGACAACGATACTCAATACAGCCTACCGTTCGGCCGACCGTTACGCGAAAAGTAATTGCCTACTAACGACTTAATTAGTTTATACTTCTTATTTTATTTTTGTACTTTGGTGTTGTTTTGGTTATGTTAAAGTGTGTCTATACGAGCCGCGGAGTAAAATAAATATTATATAGAATAGCAAGCATTACACTATCAACAACCAGGGACCCCGCGAAAGTAACATATTTTTCTATAGGATATGGCTTAAAATTTCTTTTTCTATGAGCCGTATAAAAAGACTGTTTCATAATGTGTATGATTATAACGTAATAAATATGTTACAAATTTATGAATTCGAATAAAAACAGCAGTAAACTTATCCTTGATTATAATTGCCGATTGATGCACTTTACGTCCTGAGGTTTTCGCGGAAGGTTGAGGGCGACTAAGGACGGACAACGCACCGACATTAGATGATAAAAAAGGATGTTAAAAAAGATTTACGTAGAACAATCATATTTATGAATATAAAATTATAAATGGCGTATAACTTTAAACTGTAAGTACATAAATCAAGTGTAATTAACCCTCGATTTAATTATCAACATGACGTTAGAAATTAACATGCTACTAATTTTAATTTCCATTACAAAATGTATTATTGCGCAGTACATTTCTGCCATTAATGAGTACTGTTCATTCCATCTTTGTTCGTTATATCAAACATTGTTTAAGCGACCGCACACTCGAGTAGGAGCAGCGGTCAAAAGCGTTTAACTTTGCGGTAAATGTCTTATCTAACACTAATGTGTACAGCGTCATTAAGATTGAGTAGGTATATACCAAGAGGTTATACTTTAGGAAATATGGGTCAATAAGCATAAACATTGACCCATATGCAATATTTGGATATTTAGAAAGAGTTAAAGGTTAAAGACAATAATTGCAAAACCAAAAAGCAATTTGGATAATAAACTAAAGGAATTGATCTTTTCCGTACTTTCACTTCAATTTATTTTTAATCTCTGTTATTCATTTTACATATTTTTAACGTGAGTGAGGTTTTCGGATTTTTGCAGTATATACCGGATTTCATTATTTCATAAGTCTGTTATTGAATTGTAGACATGTTTATCTATGTAGTACATTCTTTTACTGTGTCGTTAAATTGGTTTCCACCACCATTAATTTTACATAACAATTCTTTTTGAAGCCCTGAAAATGCATTGTGCCTGACTTGTTAAGCGAAAATAGTTATTTATAGGTTCTAAATAGCTACCGCTAACAGGGATAACACTAAAAAAATAACCGTTTTAAGTTCAGTCAGCTGTCTGAGTAAACTGAAACTTTTGCTTTTTGTTTGTTCCAAAATCACTGTCAGCCTTGTATTATTTCAGGATATGTGATTATATACATGTATATATATATATATATATATATATATATATATATATATATATATATATATATATATATATATATATATATTTAAATCCGAATTTGTTTTGGTGTTTTTATCCTTTTTTATGTCAACCCCATTGTGATAATTTCTATAAGTACTTAGAAATATACTATATCTAAGTTATGGTGAAAACACAAAAGCTGCACAACATATTTTTTTTGCATCTTCTGAAATTGGCAGAGACAAGATTGACAGCACAATTCCTTTGTTGTAAGAGTTTATGTACCATATATATATGAAAAATTCAATTCTGCGATTTGCGTATTGGACAATTGTAACGCTAGCTAGCGACCGGAGCGATAGGTGTCGTTTGTTCAAAGCAGCGAGGGCGGGCGCGCGGTCGTCTCAAGATCAAGGTCGCGTGGCAGACGCGCGGCAAGGTCACCTGTCCCCGCCGCCCCGCGCCGCGCCCCGCTCGCGCGCAAATATTTGCGACCGTCTGTCCTCCGCGACCGATATGCCGAGGTCGGTCCGTCAAATAGACCTTGAAGTAATATTATCCGACCTCTCCTGCATGAAAGACGAACTGATATGAGATCTTTGTTATTCGGACACCGGGCTTTACAATACACGTAGTCGTGTACATTGATCACACAAATGTCTATGTATATACAACTGCTTATACCGTTATTGTTATAATATTAAACAAATTATTTTAAGTATATCTTGTTATATCAATTGCTTATGCAATTATAAACATAACTTACGATGGAGATGTCTGACAAAAATGTTGTGATAATATATTGTCGGATGGAAGTACCTATCCATCATTAATAATCTAATATTTATAAAATAAAAACTTGGCACAAAAGATGTAGACACTACATACACTTTAGGATTATCACTAAAACACCGACTGTACTTACTTTAGGTTCAAAACGTAAGCCTTCCTATGTTAAATTAAAAATTGTGATATTACTCTTAAATAAGTTTACAATTCAATTCTTTGTTGAGACAAATGTTCACTTGTGTAAGGAGGCCAGTCCATTATGCACAAGGATTTTGTATGCTGGAAAGGATACAACAATCGATAAAGGAAGGCCAGTCCATCAGCCGTTAGCTCAGTGCACAAGGATTTTGATTCCCATAAAAAGATTTTTTCTAATAATGTCCATATTTAAAGGTCATTTGAGGGGAATGAATATCTTTTTCTCATGATCTAGATGGTCACATTTATAAAAACCAATTCATGTTTAATGTGTTAGTACAATGCATGTTTTTAGAAAAATACTTGCTGCCTATTTTGTTTTTATTTTATTGCATCTTCTGTAATAATACTAAGAATAATAAAAAATAAGAACTTTGATTGCAGATATTCTTGAGGGTTCTCCCCTACAGACAAGTCTAAATTTATGAAACGTAATGGATTTTGCCGTATACCTTACGTTGTACATAAGTGCTTGAAACGAACCTGAATTTATTACATTTTTAGGGTTCCGTACCTTAAAAGGTAAAAAAGGAACCCTTATAAGATCACTTTCTTGTCCGTCTGTCGGTCCGTGTATCACCAACAATTTCCTCTTGAATTGGTGAACTAAGTTGAAATTTATACCAGATACTGAATGATATACTGATTTTTATACGCCAAATAGTCCCTATTAGGTCCTAAGTCAACACAATAAAAAGATATGGGCAAGTTCAGATTTTCAGAGTACCAAAATTTGCATTAATTTTCAACTTTTTTTCCATTAATTTCCACTTTTTTTATTTTTCCTTTCGCTTAACCAAAAATTCTAAGTCAACCGGAAGTACCCTATAGGGTTTGGGTCGATAACCTATATGATAGTTCCCGTTGACCTAGAATCATGATATTTAGCATAAAGCAAGGTCTTACAGCCCACGTATCTCAGTATCTCATACCAAATTTCAACTTGCTAGATCCACTCTTTCCTGAGAAAATCGGTGACGATTATTTTCAATCATAAATTTTGATTTTTTTTTAATCTGAGAAGGTTCAAAGCGGTCAGCTCCCTTGCCACCTTCTCAGGTTCACCTGATGTTAAGTTATAACCACCGCGCATTGACATTTGCAACACTCGTAGGGTTGCAGATCCGTTGCCATAAAGTTTATTTTTTATTGATTTATTTTTATTTATGCTTTATTGTTAACCTTAAGAAAAAAAAAAAGGACAAATGACATACTTAATGCCTAAAGGCATTCTCTACCAGTCAACCCAGGATGTAGAGAAAGTTTATGTTAGGTGCCGCAAGGGATGTAAAAATTACAAAATATTAATATAAAATAAAATAAATTATGATACATAATTATAAATATAAGGATTACATATAAGAAATAACATTTTGGATTATAATAAAGTATAGATGAAAATATTTGTAAAGTGGAAGTATGACAAATACTTTCGCGTTTCGTCTGGTGAGTGAGGTAGCCGGAGCCCAATTTCCAAAAAGGTTGTCAAGGCATCAGCAAACCCTCTGGTGTAGCAGATGTCCATGGGCGGCGGTATTCACTTAACATCAGGTGAACCGTCAGCTCGTTTGGCAACTTTTCACATAAAAAAAAAGACCTTTACATTTGCCTTCTGTGAGGTCGTGGTATTTGCCTGGAAGAGCCTTCCTTGACAACCCCTGTCAAGGAATTCCTGTCAATTGCTTCTAGTTATCACACACCACTATGCGAGCTTATTTATTTGCTACAGTCGTTTATAAATTGATGATGAAAATTTATGAAAAAGTATAACTACTAGAGCTTTAAACTTTTTGACTTTCTATTAATTTCTTTATGCAAGTATATGTATGAAAATAGGTGACTTCTTCCTACTAAATAATATCTATTAAGAAAAAAAGAATAACCATTTAAAAGATGTTGTAAGGATTCCGGCAACTGTTCAAGAATTTAGATTGAATACTCTTTAGTATTTTTATACATCATCTTTTTTTATCTTTTTTTAATAGTCTTTATCTATCGGAACAAAAAATCCAGTTCAAATATTTTTTTATCTGGAATAGATTAGGGGGCCCACTTTATTATAAAGTGGAAACGGTTCTGCAACCCTACGGGTGTTGCACATGGACGGCGGTTATCACTTAACATCAATTTCTTCTTCTTCTGCTTTTCGAGTCACAATTGATATTTAAATCTTTTCGACCAGTATTTGATAACATCAGGTGAAACGCCAGCTCGCTTGCCATCTTCTCAAAAGAAAAAGTATCATTTGTTGGCCTTGCATGCGATCAACAGATCTTTTTTATATTTTTACAGGAAGATAGATGTGACTTAGGTTGTTGTCGTTTACCAAGGTAAATGTTGATAGTCAAGGGCGATAAATGAATGTAAAATAATTGTAGAGAAATACAGTTTGTTTGAAAGCATCGTTATTCAAGGATTCCAGGAATGTTGTTCTTTTACATAGGTAATTTATTTTTTATAGGTGATTTCTTCGTGTTTGATTATGGTTTATTAATCACTAGGCAGATGGAATCAGGAAATCAGCCTTGCCGTTGTCATGAAACATCGGGAATAAAACTATGATAATTGCTATAATATTGCTTGAAAATAGTTATTTCAAATATATTATTAAAACTGTTCATAAAATTATATTTTTAGTTTGTAATGAATTTTAATTTTTTTTTCATTCGTTTGCGAACCTGAATGGAGGCTCAATAAAGAAAAAAAAAAACGTCTTTGTACAAGACCACAGCAATGTCGCGCCACCACGTCTCCCTTCCTGTGCCTCTAGTTCCGAAGTCGAGACAACGGGGCCAAGGTCCCGTTGAATTATGGAGTATATGGTGTTATTCGGGCGCAATGTGTGTCAGTGCTCTGGTCTCGCGGCCGAAACTTTAATAATAACGGTTGAAGGTCCCTAATCGACAACGAGAGGTCAGCTATCCCTTGACGAACCGCTTCCGGAGTTCTTGATCATTTTAATTTGGAACGCTGTTTTTTGTTTTTGCTGATGGAAGCAACGGTCATTTATCATGTATAAAAAACACATTCAAATATAAGCTAAAATAAAGTCCGTTGGAAATTCGTTTTTAAATGTAGATACTTGGTTTAGTCTAAAAGGTCAGTGAAGTTTTGCTGTTTGAACAACGCTTTCAAATTGTTACCATCCTGTGGAAGTTAACATAAATAACTTGGAAGCCGATGAACTAACTTAAAAAATTTTTTATATTGTATTTTATGGATAAATTAATTTGTTTTTCTAGTTCATAATTTACAAAACGATTTGCAATAAGGTGAAGGTAAAAAGTATTATTTACATACTTTTACGAGTATGCAGTAAAATGAGAAAATACCAAAGAAAGTTATATTGGTATTTTAAATTTACTTATCTGTCAATTGAAATTGTTTCATCGAAATAATAAAAATAAAAAACCTATTGCGAATTATCACGGAACACCTCCGATTGAGCACAGACACATCGGCACGTATTCGTAGGAAAGGCGAGCAAGAGAGGCGCTCGGCCGCGCCGCTCTGTTCCAAAATGAGGTCAGTGGAACGCGGAGCATTACACTTGACCTCTTTCCGTCAAGTCCTTACCTCCGCCAGACCTTCACACTTTTTACAACGCTTTTACGAGCTAGGTCGGACCAATTAAGTTTGGCCGAACACTCGTAACAATAACGCCCCCGTTCGGACGCAGATGCAGCGCTGCGCGTACAATCTTGACACACATTCGTACACCATTCAATGCCTATCGGTGTTTTCGTTGATTACTACCGATATGACTGTTTTAACTTATAGACAGATAGTGGCATTGAATAAGAATAATGTCGGACACGCGTACGGCCTCGCCTTTGTTTGCCTTATGTGAATCGCTGTTAATTTTAGTGTTTTTCGAGTTGTGGTCTGTACAACATTTCTGTAAGTTTACATTTTTGCTTGCAGTAGATTTGTTGAGTTGGGATTATTTTAACAAGATTTTTTAAAGTGACGCCGTAATGATTCACTAATTCACTGCTTTGTAGTCTAGTGTTTTAAAAATAGGAAATATGTATTCATACTTTTTTGTCATATCCCACAATTCTTATTACTTTGATGATCAGATTTATTATGATTTTTTTATAAAATTATACAACAATTACGTAATTCCAAACGGACAGGTATTGTTTTTTAAAAGTAATTTGATATGCAAATGTAAATAAACGAAACAAACTTGTTTAAAGGGGCTTGTTTAACTTGGGTTATGGCTGGGAGGCCGAGTAGTGGAGTTACATACGACGATATGCGGGAGTCTCGTAGGCTTTTCAAAAATAAACTAAAATGGTGCCAGGACCATGAAGATCAAATAAAAAAAATGGACATTTTAGCCTCTACACACGAGACTAAGCAGTTAGTAGGTTCTGGCAACAAACAAATAGACTGAATGCACGGGCGGGCCTTCCTGTGGAAGTGGGAGGCATAACAGGGAGTCAGAACATTGCCAATATGTTTAGGACTCACTTCAGGGAGGAACCCCTAAGTATAGTAGGTCAAACAGTGGACGGTGCTCGGGACACCGTAGACCCTTGGGTAGACTCATTGAGCTTCTCTGTTTGTGAGGTGAATGACGCAATAAGGAGTATGAA